GCCCCATCACCTGGGAAGCAGGATATGATAATAGGATTAAACCACAGATATCAAGGCCTAGAAAAACACTCAGAAATATCCTCAAAGTTCATGCCACAGGAACAGGAAACTATTCCAAACAGGGCTAGAGGGGGTATAAAAAACCTTCTACCCATGTGCTCACTCTCTTTCTTCTCCTCTGCTCCTTCTTGCAAGGACCCAAAGCAGTCGCCATGTTTGCTTATTTATTCCCGGCTTGGATGAACCAGGATGAAGACTTACTTCTATCAATTGATTTCCTCAAGGACTCCAATCTCCATAATGTAGCTCTGTCTACCTCTTAGACTACTCATTTACAAAACAGGCCATGGGAGATGGATGCTGATTTAACTATCATATGTTGGAGACTGTTTCCCCAATGAATATATATAATACTCTCCTACACAGTCTTAAATTCCACCATGTCTTAGTCACACAAACATAAGGATATTGCAAAATACAAAAACAAAAATCTTCTCAATTTTACCATTCCAGACATCAAACAAGAAAAATTAACTTGGATATTTCACATGCATCCGTGTATTCGTTTCCCTTTTTCCAGGAAGAAAATCAGACTCATGTCATTTGAATTCTACTTAACATGTTTTCATTCTTTCATTGCTCCTTTTATCATGCTAGCCCAAGGAAGACATATCTAAAATCAAGACGAATAAGCACTTCACCCTGGAATAGGACAAAAACCTATGGAATTAATTCGAAAAGATCATACCTCAACAAAGACAGCATTTTTAAAAAACCAAGGCATTGCAAGGACATGGGCATGGTAAGCAAAGTTCAGCTACTTTTCATTTCTGTACAGTCCTATATTGAAAGCTGAGCCTTATCTCTAGCAATTCATATTCTATAGCTGCATACCCATTCACCTCTGATACTGCAATGGCTTTTGAAGGGAAAAAAAAAAAGGTCCTCCCCCCCCCCAAAAAAAGATCTGGAAAACATATTAACATGAGTACGGAAAAAGAAAGGTCAACCTGCAAAACCAAGTCCTCTTTCTCATGCTTCTATTTCATACTCTCCCATTTGTGGGACTTTAAGTGTTCACAGTGCCCAGAATTACAAAAGCAGCACCAATCTTCTGGAATGAACCCTATCTCACCTCGTGAGGTTTCTTCACATTTCTTCATAGGCTCAAATTCAGCTATTATCGCATGCTTTAAACAAACCCTCAGGAGTAATTACTTATAATTATGTGCAATTATATCTAATTTTTGGATACAAAAATGGATGTATTTGCTATTTTGTTCTGCAAAGGCAGGTGATTGGGCAATGGCTGAGCTCTCAGGTAAGTAGGCCTCCAGACTCCAAACTAATGGTTACTTAAAGTATGGTCAAGCTGAGTCTTCCCTTGTAAAGAGTACACAAATTAAATATTATCTCCAAAAAAGAGAACAAAATAATTGTTATTTCTCTCCATCGTCTTTTCAGATCAATAAGAAAAAGCCAAACAAGAGGGAGGAATCTTTGGCAAAAGTCCATTATTTGAATAATACCAAGGAAGTCATACAACTCCAATTTAAAGGAAGCATTGTCATAATGTTTAGTTCCTTTTAAGCCCGAGCTAAAATGAAGCTGTCATGTGTCAAATAACTTAACAGTATTAGGCATCTATCAGACACCTGTTGCTCCTCAGAAACAATTCCAAAACCACAAGATGTACAAATTAAAATTTTGATGAACCAAGTAGACATTTCGTGCTCATTTCTGCATGGAAGAAGCACAACACTTTTGATGGCTCTTACAGGAATCCTTACTGTGTCTGTTGTTTGGTTTTAATGGTTTTGTTACTGTTTTATTGGTTGCAACCCAGAATCCATTGGGAACAGGGCAACTTCCAATTTCTAAAAAAATTAAATACCACCCCTTTTTTAATGTGGTCATATTTTTGAACATCCTCTTGCTTGCTTCTACTTCTTCTAGAGCCCAACATCCCCTTCCCCTGCAGTATCACCTGGCTTTAGTAAGCCAACCTGTAGATACCTTCAAAACAGCAATCGGGACTTTCACATCTGCATTATACACCCACAGTTCAGGAAGGCAGGTATCACAACTTCTATCATCCTCACCACCCCCAAATACAACACAACGCAACCCCTTCTGATGAATGAACAAGTGAAAAATGCAACAAAAAAGACAAGGCCCAATTGCCAAACTTGCCTTAGTGCCGATATCTTCCCGCTTGGTCCCTGGTTTGCTTCTTCTCAATTTGATAGAGGGAGACCGAAGTAAATTTTTTATTCTGCTCGTTATTGTGGAGCCTTCAACCGACATCATAATCTTAGTGGGGAGATAATACAGTCCCCTCTCAAATGCCTTCCCCAAAGAAGTTCAGGAGGGCTGGATTTCACATCACTTTCAGGAGACTCCAGACCTTCTTCTTTCACTTCATCATAAGGCTTCCACTCCAGGACACATCAGTTCTGCAATATGGCTATGCACAGTTCTTCCTAGGTTAGTTCAAAAGACCAAGATCAATATAGACCAGTGGTTCTCAACCTTTTTAATGCCGCGACCCCAACCGGTCATAAGTCGAGGACTAAACCGGTCATAAGTCGAGGACTACCCAACCGGTCGTAAGTTGAGGACTTTCTCTGCCCGGGAGCGCTGTGCATGTGTGGTTCCGCCCCCTGCGCCGGCTGAGGCGTAGCTGGCAAGCGGCAGAGACGGAGCAGGCCGACCACCAGCTGGCCCAGCCCAAGGGAGGTAAGGCACCCGCCGGAAAAGGGGGAAAAAATGGCGGACAAAAAAAATGGCGGACAGCCTTGCTTGGCGACCCCCATGAAATGGTCGATTGACCCCAAATGGGGTCCCGACCCACAGGTTGAGAACCACTGATATAGACCTTTGAGAAATGAAGGGGGGGGGAGAGAACTAAGGTAAAATAATATAATCTTACAGGCACCTTATTCAGAATTCATGTAAAGTCACCACAGTTTACAAAACGTGGCTGTTTTAAAAATGGATGTGTGCATGTGACTGTAATACAAAGATAAAATTTTGAAGACAACCCACTGCTCCAGCTTTGGAGGTGAGGGACAATTGCTCCTAACAATTTTATGGGTATGTTCAGACACTGAACCAACCACATTTCACTAAGCATGTGGTCCAAATCCAACTTAATCTAATCTTCATCTATAACTCAAAGCCATGCAAATCTAGAAAATTGAATTCCTTAATTCCTGATGTAGTTTATTATAGATCTTTATAAAGGTAGCTTAATAAGTCAAACCATAATACTTGGCCCCCGGGAATCCTTATTTTAGAGATGAATGCTTTGCAAATTTCCAAGGAAATTCCTTCATGCTACTCTGCATGGAGTAACAACTCACTGTTACTGTTGTTGCAAATACTTAAGGATTACCCCTTTTAAGAAACAGAAATCAGATACCTAAAGCCAAGTAAACCAAAATAATACCGTTGGCAATTAGATCAACTCATGGGTTTTGAGCTCAGCTTTCAATACAAGTGGGCATTTTTCAAGCCTAAAGACGATTTACTATTTCAAACACTTCACTTACGCGTTAAAAGGAGAATCACGACCATCCAAGAATATCAGAGCTTCAACCCCCCCCAAAAAACCACGAATTGACTGTGAAGTCAATTAAGGAACTCGACGGAGATTTCCGAACAGAAGTTTGCGTAAAAAAACCTCTTTCCCATCCGCGAAGGCGAGGAATGCACAAAGGCAGGTCGAATACAGTCACGCAGAAGCCGTTCCAGCTTTTTCAGGCCAACAATAGGATGACGAGGATGGAGAAATCCGCGAGTAATTCAGCCAGACCCATTTTCTCGCCCTCAAACCACGAAACGCAGCTTCTCGCTTTAAAAGAAGCCCCTCCAACCTTTGTTACCTTGGGAAAGGAGGCAACGGCGCTCCGGAGCGGAAGCGTAAAAACAAAAAAAAGCCCTCTTCCCCCCAGGTCTCGTCCCTACAGCCGGGTTTCGTCCTTTCACGAGCCAGGGTCGCGTTCAAAAGCGCCCTCGCCTTCCCGGCGCTGCCCGCCTTTCTTCTCTCCCCGGCTCGGCGGGGCTTTGCGGGCTTCCCAAACGCGCGCGAGCGGGGGGCCGCCGGGGAGCTGGGGAAGCTCCTCTAGCGGCTCCGGCGCGGGGGAAGCGAACGAGGCGAGGGGGGAGGAAGGGGGGGGAGAGAAAAGGGCTGCCTTCCCGCTTCGAGGCTGCTCGCTTGCAGTCGGTCTTCGCTCCTTCACGCCCGCTGACAGCAAGTCGCCGGATCACCCGTGCCGGGAAGGCTGCCAGCCCGATCCCCGCCTCCCCGCCGAGCCTGGGCTCCAGCCCCTGGGCCGTCCCTCGCCTTGGGCTCCTCCTCCGCCTCTTCGCTCAGCTGTTTCTTCTGGGCAAGCCCCAAGCTGGCGACCCCTCTGCCGCCCGCTGCCGCCCCCCCCCCCCCCCGTGTATCCCTCTGGGCTCTGACAGCGCCGTCCCCGCCAGCCAGCCAGCCAAGCCAGCCAGATTCCGCGGAGGCTATGGTGGCCTAAGTAGACCAAATCACGAAACGGAGACGGGATCGCCAGCGGGACCGCCCGCCCGCCTCGATTTCGCGGCGTCGATTTCGGCGGGGGGGGGGAGATGGATTTCTCGACCGCAGAGCTCCTGCAGGAAGAAGGCGGCTCCTTCCTCGGCGGGGGGGAAGCCCGGCGAAGGCTTTGCCCGCCCTCTTTTTGGCTGCTGGCTTGAATCGGCAAGCAAAAATGAACCGGTTTGGAAACCTTGTCCGTTGTTTCCGGAGCACCTGGACGTGTTTTTACGAGCCGCGGGGCGGCCAAGCCACGGGCCCATCTGAGGTCTCTGGTAGATTGATAGCGGCGTTGTTAGGTGGGGTTGCCAACTTTTCCTCCAAACCTCTGCAAGGAGCCTCTGCTGTAAGAAATGTATGGAATGCAGGAAAATAAGACCCCCTTTTTTTGAAACCACCCTGGAAGGAATTCTGAAAACATTGGCGTCTCAGGCTTCCTCCATACAGGCAGTCCTCAAGTTACAACAGTTCATTTAGTGACTGTTCAAAGTTACAGTGGCAGTGAAAAAAGGGACTTTTGATGACCATTTTTCATACTTACGACCCTTGCAGCATCCCCATGGTCACATGATCAAAATTCAGAAGCTTGGCAATTGGCTCACGTTTGGGATGGTTGCAGTGTTCTGGGGTCACGTGATCAGCTTTTGCAACCTTCTGACAAGTAAAGTCAATGGGGGAGGCAGATTCACTTAACAACTGTGTTACTAACTTAACAACTGCAATGATTCCCTTGACAACTGTTTCAAGAAAGTCATAAAATGGGGCAAAACTCACTTAACAAATGTTTCACTTAGCAACATAAATGTTGGGCTTTATTGTGGTCATAACTCGAGGACTATCTGTACCTGCAAGTCAAATTTGGTTGTTGCACTAATTCAAGTTCATCTGCCTAAGTTCACACCCCATGCTAGGTCTTTGTATGATCTGCCTGGTTCTGAGCTAACACAATATGTGAACACACGGTTTGTAAACCATGCTTTACAGTTTAGGTATTCTGTGACCCCAGTCAAGTAAACTATAGGTAAGCAAAAAGTGACTATACTACAGCTCTACCACATTATGTAAAGTACTCTTTACTGTTCAATCATCTTTCCTCAAAAGCAAGTCATTTAATTAAATGTAGTTTACTACCAATTAAAGCTAGTACAATCCACCACGATTTCTACACTAAGCTAACCTTTGCATAGTTCTACTAGAAGTAGGCTTGAATTTCTGGCTTTTTCTCCCCTGTTCTTGGTTTTGTATGTATGGAGAATGTGATTGGGCAGACATGGGTATAGGTCTCCTCCAGTCTAATTATTTCTTGGCAAACAATAAGGATGCTGACTAAGAACTTAGTCTTAGGCCGCATTCTTAAATGTTTACACAAATACTGTACTTCTTTTGGGACTCAACTGTCTGTACTTCCTCATGATAACCAGTGAAATTAGTCAGCAGACATATGCCTTGTTCAGCACAAATCAAGTTGCAAGTGTGCTTATGTTTAAAAGCAGCACAAAGTAAATAGCAGTAATAGTTTTATTTAGGCTCAAATCGTCCTAACTGCATCTTCTTGGGAACAAACCCAGAATGCAACCAGAGTAGATCTCTGTCATGAAACATTTAAGAATGGTTTGATATCTGCTAAAACTTCTTGCCACAATACAGGCACCTACTAATTTCATAGCTGCCTTTTCCAGCTTTTTCTACTTCAGAATGCCACATTCCAGTACATGTTTTGTACATGGTATTGTGATCTTCCTAGGCAACAGATGTTAAGGCTGTAATCCTACATACGTTTACAAGGATGACTATGGCCCTAGGAAACTCAGCTGCATCTCAGAGCCATTATAGGTTTATTTTTAAAAGTGCTTTTCAGACCATTTTATTCCCTGTATGTCCCATCAGAGGGGGAAAGTGCTGCACTGGAGACTATATATGCAACATTTCCTAAAGCTTCAGTTCTTGACCCTTCTTTTCACACAAGCAGTAAACTCACATGGAAAGACACGGTACTGTATAAAGCACAAACTAAAAAATATGACTATCAAACTAGAGTATCTGTTAAAAAGGATTAGGCAACTTCACAGAGAATATAATCCCAAATTGGAATTGTGTAATACCTTGTGTAGGATCTACCAAAATAGCACCCAAAGTTCTACAATGTTCACCAGATGGGGAAGAAGCAAGATAACTGCATGCACTAGGTCAGGGGTTTGCATCATGAGGTCTGCACTATAAAATTAAGAGGCCTCGCTTTTGAATGTAGCCTAGCGTCTTATAAGAGATGGCACACTAGAGCATTCACATTCGCAAACCTGGTTTAGAGAACCTCCTACTGTCTCATCAGGAAAGGTGTCAGCCCACATTTTGTAAGTGTGTAATTTGAAGCTGCACATGATTGCTAAACCTAGCAAACTAGAAATAGCCAGAGTAACTAAACACAAGTGCTGTATTCCAAATCTTCATATGACTGCAGACTAAATGGATCACCTGCCTTTCATTCTTTCTTTACCAACGTTACAGTCAGCCAAAACCAACATGACAATATTGTTTTTCCTTTTCAGCTGGCCTTCTAACACTTGTTGCTTCTTCTCACTTCTTATTTACATGCCATATTTTTCTTTTCTCTGTCTTAAGCTTTTCTATACGAGTGGTGGTGTTTGTGCAAAAATATTTTGCCTGGTATCCAATTTTCTCTTTTTTCCTGTCTTTAATTTAATCTTTAATCTAATGAGTGGGGAAATAAGGTGAGGAGTGCCATAACCAGTATTTCTCACTGGCTGAGAAAGGAAAGAAAGCATGC